AGGTCAGAGGGCCTGCCTAGTGTGTGAAATACTTAGTTGCAGCACTGTGGGTGTTGTACTTAAAAAGCCATTGAGTCATGAAGAAGATTCCACTATCCCAGTGAATTGCATGTCTAATGGTGCCGTATTAAAAAAAATCCTAATTTAAAAAAAACAACCCAGAGTAAGGCTTGGAAATTGACATTAGTGTGTAAAACACTTACCTGCAGTATTGTGGGTGCTGTGGTTTAAATGTTATTGGCTTGTGAACAGCATCCCCCTATCCCAGTGCATAGTGCTACATTAAATAAAAGCACGAGAAAAAGAGATTCACAATGCAAAGCTGTGTCAGTTTTCTGTGCATAAAAACGGTTTGAACATCATGGGTGCTGTTTTTAATAAGCTGCTGAGTAAAGAATAGGAATGTTCCTGCTGTCAGCAGTATTGTGTATATAGTTGACCCTTACCTGATTGAAAACAGGACATAAAGAAAGGGTTTCAGAAATCAAACAAAGCTTTATCCCGTGCTTACAATCCAGATAATTGGAGACAGTGCTGTTCTGCTTCCTACAGTTATATACCGGTTCTTTGCATGAACCCGTATTGAGCAGTATTTCTTGTGAACGTGTGTACACAGTGGTCCCGCAGTGTTCCAGTTAGTGCGTAATTATGCATCAATGAAAAACCTGAGGTTTACAAAAGGAGAATTAGCTCATTAATAGTTTTGTTTAGAGGCTGTGAAAATGTTCACAAGTCGAGATCTTTAAAATGCTTTTTGGTTGAAGGCTTTACATGTTTCCCTTAGGAAGATATAAACATAAGAATATTTGTGTGTGGTCAAACAAATGGCGTAAAAACGACAAAGTCAAGGCTGTGAAAACGTTCACAATGTACTTTGTAAACAAAGCAATTGTTTTCGTAACCCTAGGAGGTTTCGTTAAAACGCTACAGGCGTGCCAAAATCGTTTTCAAACTTCAAGCTAACTTTACTGCGGTCTGGTAGTATGTTTCCTACTAAGGAAGAGTTTATGCATACTGTGTTTTCTTGTAAGTAACCATAATATAAAACCCAGGGGTACAGTATGTGACACATTGCATCTGACACTATGCAAGACACACTGCAGAAAAGTGTATCCATGAGGTGTCATGTGACAGCTCTAGTACAGTATACAGCCTTGTAACATACTGTTCAACAGTAAAATACTGTATAAACCAGTCTTTACCAGCATAATCTTCGTGTTAGATCCTGTCTGGCATTTCTTCGGAGGCTCCGAAGAAAACTCATGCCTTCCTTCTTATCCACAATTGCAAGTTGCAAGTAAAGATCAACCATAAGTTAAACATCACACTCTCTTATCCTGAGAGATGTTAATACAGTGACTGACTGAATCTTCAGAACATGAACACTGTATCACCCGCTCTCTTTCACTGAGGTGTTAAAGCACCAAGGTGTCTTTACCTTGGTAAAGAGTGAACATTTCACTCTCTCAGTGAAATGTTCATACTGTAGCACCACGCGGGGTGCTTTAGCCATGCGCACGCGTCTGGGGGCGGGACTACGGGACTGTACAGTATATACTGTAGTGGGGCGGAGGCTGGGAGACAGTCTCTTCCCTTCGTGTCTGTTTGTTAAGTGCTTCGCTGTAACCCCTGTGCCTGTGTGTGTACCCCATTCCCTGAGTCCCATGCCTGCTACATTCCGTACCGAAACCCGCGGTCTTTACAGTAAATTGAAAACGAGACAGTCAGTTTTGCGGCGACGTCCTTGCCGCCCCCAGCAGTCTATTGTTGTTGGTGATACACGGGTCAGCTTTTTTTTTATCCACACCCACCCGACCCGATTTAAAATGATAAAAGTACTGACCCAAAGCCGGTCCGAACCCGCTCCATTAGAAATTACACCGAACAATATTCGAACATTAATTTGATCAACATGTATTGAAACCGCATATTCCTTGTTTTAGGTAGACTAAAGTAGCCTAGTCTTGTGACTGTCATTTTTGTGAAGTGCTTCACAATCGATGCAGATAACGGAACCTGGGCTTTTTTCTTCTGTTGTGCTGACTAGCTCGCCAAACGTCTCCCAACTGGCTCTTTTGTCGCTCTCTCTTCCTTATTTTTATCTCACTGTTCTGGAGTTGTGTCCTGTCTGCTCTAACGAGGTTGCCATTACTGTATTGTTTTCTTTGTAATATACTTTTTTTTTAATTTAACGTTTTCTCCCACTTTGCCTTGTGATACAACCAATTGGTGCCTAAATATGGTGAAATGTCACTTTTAAACCTTAAAATCACTTTAATTTAAGATACAAACGATAGGCTTTCTGCAATATTTTGCTTTTGGTCATATATCAACCCGTTCCTGCGGGTTCAGACAATCAGACAAAACCTGATTGGAGTTAAGTATTTGAACCTTGCTAGAGAGAGCTTGTTGTTCTGTGTATTTAGGGAACATGGGTTTCCTGGGTAAAATATATCAATTAGAGTTATCTATCCTTGTGCTTTTTTAGAATAGAGAAATAGGCTCCCATGGCACCCAGACAGAGATATTTAACAGCAGGTTGTATTGTATTCAACGAATATTCTAATTATCTCTGTAGGCATTATTTAAGAGTTTATTACATATTAGAAGGGTCGAGTTTTATCTGGGTGATTAAAATGTTAGGCCTCTGGAATGCCTTGTTTGTGCATACTTTAAACATAGTAACTTGTGTGTTGTATTTTTTGTTGTGTATTGTGTAGTGTTTGTCTGGATTACTACTCCTTTCACCAAAGCTGTGCCAGAACATAAATAATTCACACGTCTCTAATTATATCAACTGCTCGAGTATATTCTGGAAAACTCACAATTTGGGGTTATGAATATTTATTTTACTTATTGACTGAACTGCTCAGTTAATACCCATTTTTCACAAATTTCATAATGATGAACAAAATGTGCAACTACTGAGACACACACTAAAAAAAACATAATATAAATCAATAATCAACAACATGAGGAACAATTTCCTTGGGTGACGGATGCACTTCCTGCAATATTACTTCCCACTTCTGTGTCACCATTTAGCTCGACCTCCCTATCCTGGGAAATCATCTGTTTATCATCTGTTTTACCACAATAAGCCCCCAAAATGAGATAATCCAGTGCTGTTTGAGCACCAATGCTGACATGTGATACATCAATTTGACTTTTATGGGGGTTACGTCTGACCTATTATGTAATGTATTACACTGCTGATTGCTTCACATTTGTTCATGAAACTGAACCCAGTTTTTAAAGCCATGACTTTAACATCACATTTTTCTGAGCGACACAGAAACCCTACAGATTCAATATCTTTGTCATTCTGTGTAATACCTACACAAAGTCAAACCACTCATTGCAAGCATCGCACTCCACCTTTGGTTTTTCTGGCTGTTGGGTGATTTACAGATGCATTACAGTTTCTGCCTTTTCAAAACATTGTCAGTCATCAACTAAGAACCTTTTTATATTGTAGTTCAGGTAGGTAGCTGCATCAGCATGTGTAGGCTGCAAAGGAACAAGTAATAGGTTTATTCCATGCTGAAAAGAGAAGAAAGAAAACAATGTTTTGGCCGTGGAGCCTTCTTCAGGTGTGAGCACACTCTCACATCTGAAGAAGGCTCCAAGGCCTAAACCTTTTTTTATTGCATGGTTACTCCGTGTCACAGCTATGGTTTTGGTCACAAAATTATAATCTTCAGTGTCAGTATTACTTTGGTTGGGACCGTCCTTCGGTTGAGACGTAAAACCGAGGTCCTGACTCTCTGTGGTCATTAAAAATCCCAGGGCACTTCTCGAAAAGAGTAGGGTTGTAACCCCGGCATCCTGGCCAAATTTCCCATTGACCCTTACCAATCATGGCCTCCTAATAATCCCCTAATAATCTGTTCTCCTCCCCACTGTAATGGTGCACTATGGCTGCCATCGTATCATCCAGGTGGTTGCTGCACATTGGTGGTGGTGGAGGAGAGTCCCCATTACCTGAAAAGCGCTTTGAGTGGAGTATCCAGAAAAGCGCTATATAAGAGTAAGCAATTATTATTATTATTATTATTATTATTATTATTATTATTATTATTATTATTATTATTATTATTATATGATCCCAGTCTGGGAACAGGAAGTGTTCCTATAAACCTCAGCAACATTAGCAAGGACACTTATCTGACAAAATCGTGATGATTTTCTATTAGCTGATGGTCTGTAGAGTATATTTGAGGTATTTTGGAAATTTTCCCCATCCAATTCTGCACTGTAATTTTTCTAGAGGTGATCCACACAGACCAACAATATTAATAAAGACTTAAGACTGAAGAAGGGTGATTTGCTATTGGCTGAGTGTGTTAACATTGTTTCACCACTTTTGATGGTGCAGAAAATATGTTTTTGTCCCTGGTTATAGTTGATTGATTGAATTTAAATAATACATTATTTTATTTTATAATAAATATCAGATACAACTCCGTTAAAAGCTTGCATCTCAAAGCCTTTTTCATTGAACAGAAAAAAATAACATTTATAAGAAAAAAATATAGCAATGACTATTTTTACAGGAGTATAAATGGAAGAAAGGTGCTGTAAAGTTAATAAAAAGTTCTAATAATCTTAGATCTGTTAAATTTAGGGATTAGGGGAGGCGATTTACAATTCAAAAAGTACTATCTAAAATTTTGGCAGAATGTTTAAGGAATTGCAGTTAACCATGAAGAAATAACAAAGCAGGTATTTCAGCTACTTGTGTCTTCGCTTCACGTCGCTATATTCATATGCTACTGTGGTAGCTGAAACACTTTAATTTTGATTGAAATTCGGCTATTCACATACACTTCCGGATCATTAGCGTCGCTTAATTTGTTTTTTAACCTTTTTTTACCGTCGCTTAATATAACTAGCTTCACGCTACTATACGCTACTGTGGTGGTGAAGGACTTTTATTTTTATTGAAATTCGGCTATTTACATACACTTCCGGATCATTAACGTCGCTTAATGTAACTAGCTTCACGCTACTATACGCTACTGAGGTAGCGAAGGACTTTTATTTTTATTGAAATTCGGCTATTTACATACACTTCCGGATCATTAACGTCGCTTAATGTAACTAGCTTTACTCGACTCAGTTTTTTAACAGGAGCAAATGAGATTAGGGAATTGTTCTGTCAGGAAGAATGATGCTTTCTCTCCGTCTCTTCAAGACAGCCGCACGTTGTCTCGGTTGTGAAGGCAGTTCCTGATTTAGCCACTGAGTAGCTTTGTAGCGAATGTTCATTACTTCCAGTGCGTCAGTGTAATTCTTTTGATCGAAAACACTTAAAATGATCAAATAATCAAGGTAAGTTAAAAAAGCGTGCATTTTGCATAGTTTAAGATAAATGTTGTGGCCTTAGTTTAGAACATTACAACTTATACTTCTGGGAAAGAAGTCATCATATTTAACGTGAAAGCTTGCAGTCTTCTGCTTCCATTTAATTCCTGCCTAAACCTAATTCTTGTTGCATGTGTTATTGTTTTATTTCTGTTCTAGAGGGCTTTGAATTCGTTTTTTGAGGAGGACTATCCCTTGTGAGGTGTCCCCAGCAGAGTGTGTCCAAGCTGAAATGAATAGTGAACCTAAACCCATGGAATGGTAAACAATGTTTCAAACCCTTGAGTTGTAAAAATTATTATAAAAAAATAGGGGAGTTTGTAGGCACACCATTGTCTGTAATATATTTCAGTTGCATTTTTCATATAGAAAGGAATATATGAATATTAGGGGGCAAATGTTTGCTAGTGTGAAAAGAAAGGGTTCAAAGTGTGTTGACTGGGTCTGTGGCAGTTTCTTTAGAAGACAACACATGGTTTCAAAAGCCCCCTCCAAGTTCAAAAGACCTAGTGGGGGGGCAGCTTTTGGTGTACAAAACTGCTCTTTGTAAAACAGGCCCTATTACACAAACAATAGATTTAATATGCATAAATTGTTCATTCTGCCAGTCACAATGATATTGGTTGGTACTCACAGCACCACTATATATATATAGAAAAATGGTTTTTTTCTTAGGAAAGTTCTGCAGCATTTATGTAACTGGTCATGGGATTCCTGTGGTTCCCACTTGTTCAAAATGGGTACTGTGCTTGCGGCTTAGGTTGAAATGGCATTATGAAAGGGGCTATAGATTACTTCCATAAGTAACACTGCTTCAGGATGATTAGAAAAAGTTATAGCCTCGAGGGTTATTCTGTTGTGCAAATGCTGAGGTTTTCCAGAGATCACATTGCCACCCCCCCACCTGATCACAAAGAGTGAAGGTTCTGTAAGTTCAATCAGGATGGGTGCAATAGCTCAAAACAGACTAAGTGTTTCGTTAAATATGGCAAGAGCTAGTCCAAATATGAGGGGATCCATTTATGTGCTTATGTTGCAGTATTGACTTGACCAATGACGAGCCAGCCAGTAGCGGCAGAGGAGGGACGTCTGTCCAGGGAGGGAAGGAAAGCAACGGTCAGCTCTGCATTGTGACCTGGAACATCGATGGACTGGACACTGATAATCTTAGGGAACGTGCCAGAGGATTGTGCTCCTATTTGGTCCTGTAAGTACAACATACCATACCCTGTATTAAAGATGTGTATTTCATGGCAACACTCCATGAAAAATGATAGAGGATTGTGTATGAATTGGCATAAGCAAAAATGTTGTGCTGTGTATAGAATTTCAAGAGAAATCATCTTCAAATAATACAATGTATGACACAGTTGGAAAACTTGGTGTAGTTTTGATTCTCGTGGTATGAGAAAAGTATTGCTTTTCTAGAGGCAGTAAAAAAGAGAGACCAGTTCCTGGTTTAAATGAATGCCATACCTGGACTTAATAAAATGTATCCATTTATCCTATCCTAGAGATATATGTGGGGGGGGGAACTATCAAGCCAGGTGAAGACAATTTTCAGGAATTTGTTAGGACATATTATAATTTACCTTTTTTTTACCTTACCAGAGTAAAACGGTATTGCAAGACTAGTGACAGAGACTAGTTTATAGGTCAAGGCTAACTGTTTACGAAGAGCTGTACATATGATAATTATAGCAATTAAGGCTGATTGCATTTGAGCATCTGTAGAGAAACAACACTGTAGCTGTTTAATACCTTCTAATTAAATTGCATTTAATACTAACAAAAATGCTGTTTAAACCAGTGATCCATGTCTTAGTGACAAAATAGTGCACTTTGAAAAGGGTTCTTAGCTAGTTTTAGTAACGAAACTTTCAACCAAAAATATTCAAATTAAACAGCCACATTTTTTTTTACAAATAAGCACTTTAAAAACAAAATGTGCATATGTCATTTGTACTTCAACTAAATTCAATATCATTGGAAGGGGTTGAATGTCCTCCTCTTATTTTTTACCTTTCTTGTGTTTTTTTGTAAAAAGAGAGTGCGAATGCTACCTGTAGAATATCGAGATTTCAGACTGGAATTGTGTGTGGGCCATTTTAAAAATAGCATTTTATAGTGTTAGAACAAGTATAGTAGCCACTTATGTGGTGGAGGTTATTAGGATTCTCTTTAATTGAAAGTTTGTGATGGATAGTAAGTGAGCAAGAGAAAGAGAGAGAGCTGGGGGGAGAGAGAGAGAGAGAGAGAGGCAGCACAGAAGATGAGCTCCTAATTTGTTTGAGATTTTGTTGTTTTCTGGAACTGAACAAATAGTCTAGGAATAAGGCAACATCTAACAAAACTAAAGAAAACTACAGAAGTAAAG